GAGAGTCTTCAACGCCAAACCGGCCTCACCAAGGTTCAGATTCTCAATTGGCTTGCCAATGCTCGGCGCAGAGGCAAGATTCCCGAATACCAAGCATCGCCTCGGACCCAGAGCCCCTCCGGCAAGCCCATTGATATTCCACAGCGGCCGGGCACGCCGGCAGTGAACCGTCAAGCCTCCTCACAGATGAATCCCCTTGAACGATGGTTCGATTCCCCTCCAGATTCCGAACCCGCCAACCCAAATGCCATTGCCCGAGCCATGGCATCTGGTGGACCATTTGGTATGTGCCGGCATCCAAGTTGTGTTTGATGTTGAGGCTAATCAGAATATAGGGCTCGGAAACACTCCTGCCATTGAGGACAGCAACCCGTTGGGTGGCTTCAACAGTACGCCTGGGAGCAGTAATGGGACGTCTGGCTCAAGTGATGGCTCGGCATACTCATACGACAGCCAAAATTCGGCCGCATCAGTGAAATTGCCAAGGCGGCACAGATTGCGACGCAAGACTCGTGCTGCTAAGAGACGGAATGATGCCAAAACCTCCTTGCAGGCTCCCCTGAACACTTTCCAGTGCACTTTTTGTACCGAAACATTCAAGACGAAGCACATTTGGCAGAGGCACGAGAAGTCCTTGCATATTGCCCTTGAGAAATGGCTCTGCGCCCCCCAGGGGCCTCGGATCGCCAAAGAGGATGGCACAATATCTTGTGTCTACTGCGACCAGATCAACCCAGACAACGCACACATCGAAAGCCACAATTTCACGGCCTGCCAGGAGAGATCTGCTGCCGAACGAACTTTCCACCGGAAGGACCACCTGGGTCAGCATCTGCGACTGGTCCACAATGTGAAGCCTGAACACCTGAACTGGCAGTTGAATGCGTGGAAGATGGACATCCCCGAGACCAGGTCCCGTTGCGGATTTTGTGGCATTGAGATGGATACCTGGTCTGCTAGAGTTGACCATCTCGCAGAACACTTCAAAATGGGCAGCACAATGGCTGAATGGTCCGGGGGGTGGGGGTTTGACCCTGAGGTCTCGAATAGGATATCTTACTCCATGCCACCTTGTAGGTCTTCTACCTTATCTGATGTTTCAGTTGGGATTTTCTGGCTAACTATTGTACTAGACATGATTGATCATGAGCGGCATGCACCATTCCCGTTCTCCGCCAGCAACGCGCCTCTTGAATCGCCGCCGAATGCTTTTGAATTGATCAAGCTAGAATTAATGTACTATATCGAGAACCGTTACGATTCCTCGGGGAGGCTTCCCAGCGCTGAAGAACTTCATGTCGAAGCCTGTCGGATCCTTTTTGCAGCCGATCTGCCACACATAAACGAGAATAAGAATGCCGACCACGGCCCGCACGAACCCGCAGATTCGTGGCTGCGAGATCTGATCATGTCTTCTGATGTAATCATCCAAAAGGCAAGGCTCGCACCGTTGCGCATTAATTCCGAGTGCAGGCTCTCTTACACGGGAATCATAGGGAAGAACGATATCTTTGAGTCGTGTCCCCTGGAAGCACAGCTCATCAAATTCGTGCAAACCCATGGTAATGCGGCCATATCAGACGCCGAACTTCAGCAAGAAGCCTGCCAGATTATACTGCGAATGGAGAGGGATTCTGTCTCCATGAGCGACATCGCCACGACCTGGCTGGTTGAAATGGTGAAGGCCTCCACGTTCTGGCTACATCGCTTTCGTCAACGTATATCTGTCCCATCTCCTTCTCCAGAACCGCCTCTTTCCGCAGTCCCGGGAGTTTCGGGTTCATCCAATCTCGATGTTATCCTTCAGAACTACAATATCCTGGAGAAGAATCTGGCAGAGCTCGTTCAAAATCTTCTGGCGCATGGGGTCCATCCTGACGATGCAAATCTGCGGCAAATGTTCCTGACGGCCATCGACGAGATTGATGATGCGGAGTGGAAAACCGCAGCGTCCAACAACGACGCCTGGATGAGGCGGTTCAAGAGGAAGCATTTGCCTTGGACGAATTTGCCCTGGACAGTAGGTGCTGTCGGCGACGTATCCTTTGCCTTGGGAAACCCGCCCACGTCTTATTCTCCCCACCCACCCGGGCCGCAACAACTGCGACAAGATGAAAACAGTGGCATCAACACGCCTGACTCTGGGCCAACCATCCAGCATCCGAAGCGAGGCTACTATTTCTTGAATGATCCCAGTTTCGATCGCATCGTCACCCGAGAGCTGGCACGATTTGTAGCAGCTACAATGTCACCGCATAATCCGAACCAACACGTTCCAACTGATGAGGAGTTGCGACACCAGGCCAGGTGGATCATGTTTGAAGAGTAAGTGGCTCCATATCAAAATCAGTGACAGGCAGACCAGCGTTGCTAACAAGAATTCAAACAGCGGCGACCCGTGGAACCTCACGACGGCCGACAGTGACGAGTGGCTACGGCGATTCAAACGGGACGTGGGCATACTCGACAACGGTCCCGGCCTCGGTACTGGCGAGTGGTACGGAGGCGAGCGAGATAAGACAAGATGATAGATAGACATCAATCAAGTTTAACAGCCTATAATCTTGGATCATTATACCTACAGTTTCTCCAGCTTGTATACAACGTAATACACCATCTACACTCCCCCTTCCCTCTAAGAAAACTACGACAAAAGCACCCTCCTCCCCTCAGCCTCCCACTCCCCCGCCAGCCCTCTCCAATCATCCCGATCCCCACCCCAAAACGCCCTCAGGAAATCCAGCACGCCGAGATAGTGCCCGAACCGCGTAATATCGTACAGCGAGCGGCACAAACCCTCCACGACCCCCTGCGCGGCCCTGTCGCCATGACATTCGACCCCCGCGATGAAGGCCGGCCAGAGCAGGTTCTGCGGCCAGGCGCGCACGTCCTCGAGGCGGAGGAGCTGGTCGAGCAGGCGGCGGGACAGGAGGGCGTGCTCGAGGCGCGTGACGTTGTCGTCGGCGGAGAAGATGAAGCCGAGGCAGCGGTGGGCGTAGAGCAGAGCCGCTGAGTGGAAGATGTCGACTATGCGGGTGAAGTCGCGGCGTAGGGGGGCAGTCTTGAATGGGAGGCGGGCGGAGGCGAGGAGGGTTGATGCGCGGGCCTGCTCGAAGGCATCGCGGGTAGAGCAAGGGTCGGCGAGGCTGTAGTGGTCTGGCAGGACTGGAGGGGGCAGGTTGCGGGAGAGGAGGGTGACGGCGTGGACGAGGGAGAGGTAGTCGGTGAAGAGGGTGGTCGGGGTGTGGTAGGGGACGACGGTGGCGAGGAGGTCGGAGGGGTCGTGGAAGGCGGTGATGGAGGAGAGGACGTCGTGGATGGCGAGCTGGTTGCGGAGGAAGAGGAAGAAGTCGGACTGGGAGGACGACGAGGTGGTGAAGAGGTTGAGGAGGGAGCGGGCGGCGCGCTTGTGGCCCTCGGAGGCGAGGATGCGGCCGCGGACCATCTCGTAGGTGGAGATGACGAGGATGGAGGCGAGCAGCCACTCGGCCTGGAGGGTGTCGGAGCGGGCGGACAGGTTGGAGCCGGTGCTGAGACGGCGGGTGAGGTCCTGGGTGCTCTGGTTGAGGACGGCCAGGCAGCGGTCGCGGGCCTGGTCGGGGAACGAGGGCGAGGCGGACGAGCCGTGGAAGGCCGAGACGGCGGCGATGGCCAGGAAGAGGCCCGGCTGGCGGCGGGCGAGGGGGAGGGCACAGCTGCGGTAGGCGTTGTCGTCCGAGTCGAACCAGACCATGAGCCCGGCGATGGACTTGTCGTAGTAGTCGAGGAAGACGGCCGTGTCCTCGCGCAGCTCCGGGATCCGGCGTGGCTGGAAGAGCACCACGGCGCCGGTCTCGACGTCTTGGATGTGCTGGTCCATCGCCTGTCCATCTCCGGGACTCGATATGGCTGCTGAGTTGACATGCTCACTCTCCGGGGCGTCATCCTGATGATCCGGGTTGGGGGTTGGATGACCCTTCAACCGCCCGCGCGAGGCCACGCCGTTGACCCACTGGATGCGCCGGCCGTATCCTGGGCAGCTGAGATCTCGGGAGACACACTTCAGACAGGACGGACGCTGACGGTCGCAGCGGATGCGACGTCTCCTGCATGTTCGGCAATCTACCAGGCGTTAGATCTCCAGCATGGGAACAGGCGCAAGACTGCACTTACCAGGATGTGCCTTCTTATCCATCTGCTTTTATTACTTTAACTTTAGAGGCAAGAAACCACATGCTCAAACATCTATCCAGCCTCTGCCCTGCTGCGGGGTGAATGAGACGATGGAAGAACAATTACTTTGGGAGCCTCCGATCCCGGCAGCTGTCGGCGCGGGGGATTGTGTCGCAGCCGGACCGGGACGCCGGAGATGGCCGGGCGATATCATTTCTCGGGCCTCCGCTGTCTCAATCTTTGCAGCTTGGTTTTGAACAGATTGTACTAAACAGCCTAGACACGAAATATAGAGAAGCAGCCAGCTGGTGTGCTGGTTTGGTTGGAGATGTGTTTATTCCGTTCAACCCACTGAAGCCGGCACAAGCCAACCAGAATTTAAATCAAAGCAGACTTTGAATTAACATTTGTCTCATATATATTTGCCAAGGTCCCTTCTACAATTCGAATCTAATGCACTGTCACGCGAAAATCGATACTCTTATCTCGGATGGCAGCAGTGTAACCCGTCTCAGGTGGGGGAACGCTGCTTCGTGACTGGGCAAATCGAGTCAATGCATGATGCGGAGACTGATCGGATCGCTTCTGAGGGGCAACAGACTCTAACCCATTCTGACGGATTTCGGGAGAATGGAATAGATGCAGGATCAGAGCCCAACCCCTCAGTTGGCAGGTAAATTACTCAGCTGGGACATCCGCGGAATCAAATACCGGAGTTCGAAAACCGATTCATCAGCATCCATTTGAAGATATAGAGACGCGTCTCCTCGCTTCCCCTCTTTTCCTCCCCAAATCATCCATTGTCTTGTCCCAATTGTACCACGCAAACATCGCCAATCCCCGCAGCCATGGCCACCGTCACCGTCATCTATCCGTCCGGTCACAAGTTCGACCTGGACTACTATCTCAACACTCACATGCCTCTTGTCGCCAGGTAAGTCGGCCCACTCATCCAAGCCAGGCACGGAAGGGGGTAGATTAGGGCAGAGACACATCCATTGAGGTGGACAATTGAGCCAATGCTAACCTCCATCATAGGGAATGGGGCTCAGCAGGTCTTACCGGCTATGAGGTTGTGCAGTTCACCGAGGGCGGCGCCTATCAGATCCAGGCCGTCTTGAAGTGGACTTCTCTTGACGCATGGAACAAGGCCTCCAAGGACGTGGTCCTGGGCGACATCCCCAACTTCACCACTGCTCCGGCCACACTGCTCACCGGCGAGTATAAGCAGGCCATCACGCTCTAAGTTGGCGCGGGGCTGGAACCAGCAGAGGCAGTTACGCGGCCTAACCTGAGATTGAGCACAGAGTGGCTTTGAGGAGGTCTGGAAATGATTCGTAAAGCGAAGAACGAGCTTATGACCAATATAATGACACTAAACAAAATTTGAATAACAATCAAGTGCATCTCCATGTACCGCTCAGATGCCACCGCTAAGAAGCCCTGGCTGGTCTCCCTCCACGTATGGACTCTCATCGGCGTCAAACTAAGACAATGCCCTGTGATCAAACCTTCCAGTATTGGATGGGCTTCCCACTGACTGTGATCTCCTAACTAATGTAAACCATCGGACCAGACTCTTAACATAGATAGGGAAGACGATACGGGAAATGATGACACTAGATCCATCTCTAAACTAGATAGATAGAGATGTAAAGAAGAAATTAGCCAAGAATTACCTTTGAGTTAGAAGTCGATCATTTCTGGAAGGTCGCCAGCTGGAACTAGCCACCAGGGAACGAGATCAGGCTACTGGCTTGGCTCTCGCACAGCCAGGTAAAATGCCATTCTATATGCTTATTTCCCTACGAGACTGGGGAGAGCACCCATACTCCCATGGCCTCACATAAACATTATCAATTCTTCTGGCCAAAAATGGTCTCATAATACATCGAGGGGAATGCGTCTACCGAGAAAGCCGAATATATCGAGCCTGTAAATGGTAGCAAAGGAAGGTTGATATAATTGACGAGGAGCGTGGCTGTGGGGTTGGACTCTTATACATCTGTTGGTCATCGGGCTGGGCATAATCATTTTCGTGAATATGACCAGAAACGGCAAGCTTCAAAGCTCTTTGTCAACGACTCTGCCTGTATAAGGCGTTTGAGAATCAGCCAGGGGCTGCAGGGGCCAAGAAGTGAGACGGGCGGATCAGTTTCAACTAAAAATGAACGTGCAGCGTCTAGAACCAGCAACCGGCAAATCAAGACGCAGGCTCTCACGATTTATCAGCAGAATACATGTACTCAGCTACGGCACAGCGTTTATGACTGCCGCTGCTCAAATGCCGCGCCTTGTCGATGGCCGTTGCCGAGATGAAGGGCCGTGATGCGCCTCTCCCCACGCTTCCCGGCCAAGCTTGCCCAGGCCACACCATCTCCTAGCCCGAACCCCGTCCATAGGCTGTTATTCCTGGATGAAACTGATCTACCCGTAAGGCGGCTAGCTGGGCCAGCCTAATGCGTGTGTAATGCGATATCTTCTTGGCATATGGAGGTGATGGCTGAACTGTTGATCAGCCGAATCACTATATGAATCCTGAATACCCTCGCCTCCCTCCATCGTGAATCTTTTGAGTCTGCAAGCCAAGTGCTCATTCATTCATTCTCTCTTTGTATTTCTTGATTTGGTATATCATTCTATTCGCTGCCGACATCTTTCACTCCGTTTATCCAGTGATACCTCTTTCTTATCTGTAGATCCGGAGAACAGAATCAACCATGCTATCTCACGCCTTCATTGCTTCTCTCCTTGCCATCTCGGCCAACGCTCATGTCGGGACCTGGAATCCGGGCATGTACTGTAAAGTAATACACATCCCCATTCCTATTCCCATCCCCCCTCACAGTCTAACCGAGTAACAGGGCGGAAACAACACCAACGAGGACAACCAAAACACCAACCTCATCGTCAACCCCCTCTACCAGCTGGAAAAGGACGTCTGGTGGCAGCAGCGCGACCGCGGCTGCCACCTCGTCCCCCCTCCCGACGGCGAGTTCCTCGAGCTCCCCGCCGGCGCCTCCTTCACCACCGAGCTTGCCAACAACCGCGCCTTCACCACCCTCTCCTACGGCGGCCAGTACGTCTCCGACTGGCAGGACGGCCAGAATCGGACCGAGCCCTGGGTCGGCCCCGGATCCCCCCCGGGATGCCTCGTCGACAACCCAGACAAGGCAGGCGGCGAGCTCCACGCCCGGAGCCAAGAGCACGCCGCCGGAACCGCCTGGGCCATCTCGTACGAGAGCGATCTGGACAAAGTTACCATGGACAACCTCGTCGTCTTCTCCGTGCGCTACCACACGCCCTGGAAGCGCCTGACCAGCTACGACGTGCCTGCCGATCTGCCCGAGTGTCCCCCCGAGGGCTGCTACTGCGCCTGGCTCTGGATCCCCGATGGATGTGAGTTTTAATACTGAAGAGAGAGGCTGTAAAAGGGAAAGGGGGCAACAAACAATACTGACCTGCTTGGAAATAGGCGGCCAGCCCAACATGTACATGTCAAACCACCGCTGCAAGGTCACCGGCAGCAAGTCGACCAAGACCCTGGGCACCCCCAAGGCCCCCGTCTGGTGCGAGGACGACCAGTCCAAGTGTCTCTCCGGTCCCAAGCAGATGATGGCCTGGAACCGTACGTCCCCCTTATACAATTCCGGAGATGAGAATCATGTATATTAACACCATTTTCTACAGAGGCCAGCGGCGACAACGTCGTGGCTCCCCAGGGCCGCACTCCCACCTACAACGAGCGCATGGGTTTCAAGGACGGCGCCCAGGACGACATCTTCGTCGAGAGCGGGAACCAGTCCTCCTCCTCTTCCTCTTCCCAAATCGCCGCTCAAACTTCCTCGACGCAGGCGTCTACGCAGTCTGCCGCCCCGGCTACCGCCACCAGCATCCAGCGAACAAGCAGCGAGTCCAGCACGGCCGCTGCGACCCATTCCACCCCGTCTGCCCAGCCATCTCAAGGCGAGTCGACCTGCTCCAAGCAGAAGCGTCACCTTAGACACCACGCCCGTCACATGGCATAGGATGCCTGTTGATGTGATGGATTGGGGAAAAGGAGGGCCACATAGTTGACTTATCTGTAACAATATCAGCATATATGTAAATATACATATCATGACTCGAGTTGAGGGGCCAGGCTGTCTCGGCGTCTAGAACGCATCATCTCGTTTCAGTAGCCAAAATTCACTTTTGGATGTTCATCTTCATGAGCCGCAGTGAAACTTTCTCTCCTCAGTAAAAGGGTCCAATCTCAACTTGATATACAGAACAATGCCACAGAACCATCAGAGTCTCAAGGGCCTTGAAAATTCACGGAGGCTTCTACAAGCCAACAATCAAAACATTGTGACAATTCACGAATGTATGATACATTTCGAAGTAACAATGACACTTAGAAAATCTATACAAGCCCTGGTATACCGCATCATTATACATAACACAACTCCTATCCTATTAAACCCTACCCTCATCCCCAAATATGACCAGCCTCCCAAAGTCCCGCAAAACAACCTGCTTCACATCCTCGCCCCTCCCCGAAGCCGTCAAGTCGAGCACCTCATCCTTCCTCGCCGCCTTGATCGCCTCCCCCGTCGACCGGTGAGCCACAGAATGCATGCTCTTAATCAAGCCCTGGCTCGAGAAGGCCACCAAGCCGACAAGGCCAGAGCTCATCTTGGTCCCCAGGTTGAGCAGTCCCACGCCAGCGCCCTTCGCCGCTCCCGCCGCCCCCCCTTCCTTGGCCCCCTTAACGGGCTCCATCACCAGGCCGCCGATGCCCTCGACGATCCCGTGGCTGAAGTTCTTGCCCGCCACGATGCCGCCAGACTTCCAGTCCGTCACCTGGCCGGGCTCGTAGACCTCCCCGCCGTAGAGGCGCGGGGCGACGCGCATCCCCTCCGCCACAGCGAGGGGCAGGTCGGCGAGCATGCCCTTGTAGAAGTGCTTCAAGACACCTCCGACTCCGCCTGCTGCCCCCGTCAGAGCCGTCACAGTAGGGTTGTGTTTATGGCCGTCGCCTTCACTCCTCGGGGGCGGCAGGGCTACCCCCGCCGGTCTGCAGAAGATCTCCTCGCTGGCAGATGTCACGGAGGCGGTCTCGTTGGATGAGCCATCTCCTTTCAACGACTTGGGCTTCTGGAAGGCCTGGACTGGCTTGATGAAGATGTCTGCGGTCGACGTCACAATTCCCGTACTCGTGCTCATCAGGGATGACATGGTAGCTGTGAACGGATCCCATCTGCGAAGATCGATGTTGATGGGTTTGCTCTGATATCTATTCCCAAAGTAAACAACTCCCGTCAGTGATCACATACCAGCTGCAGTGTTGACCCTGGGGGTTGGACTTACGACCTCAGTTCTTTCCAGTCGAGCCTCATATTGTCCGTTAATACACTGACCGCCATTGACGATAGTTTCATCTGCCGTTTTCCCTTCTTACATTTCCATACGGCAGCACGGGATGGCAGCACATCACATCTCATTTGCTTCAGGGGCAGGTTCGCATAGAACGATTGCACAGCACGCTCCACCCCAGATTCAGCGCGCATCTTCGCTGCCATTTGTTGTGCTGCCTCCAAGGCATTCGGGCTGAGGCAGAACCGAATAGCCTCAGCTAAGTTCTGTGTATTTAACTGTAGCTGCGGTATGGGCTCGGGACCAGCGCCTGCAGCGGCCACCATATGGCCCCAGAACGGTTGGCTATAGGAAGAAATCCGAGTTAGAATTCTCTCTTAAAGGGCACCTCGCTTCGTGGATATATCAAGGGGAGGTGGAACTCACTCGCCGAAGAAGGGAACGATAGTGGTTGGCCGGCCATGAAGGAGACCGCAGGCCGTCGTCCCAGCACCGCCGTGGTGCACAACTGCTGTGACATGCTGAAACAGCCACTCATGAGGGCAGTCACCCAGGAAGAAGACATCGCTGCTTTGCTCCTGGCCAAGCCCCAGGTTACTCCACCCTTTGGATATGATGGCGCGCACGCCAACTTCTCTGACGGCAGCGAGGATAAGTTGGGTCAGCCTCTCCGGATTGTCAATAACAATACTTCCGAACCCGATGTAGACAGGAGGCGGCCCTGCCTTCAGAAATGCGTCCAACTCGGGCTCTGGGGTGTATTTGGGGGCATCTCGAAAGAAAAATCCACACACATCTTGCGCGAACTGTCAGTAACTCTGCATACATATACTTCACAACTTGTTTTCAGGGCGACAGTTCTTACCAACATGTGCTGGCCAGTCAGCTGGTTTGGGTATCAGAGCTGGAGACCAGCAATACGTGAACGGGATCTGTAGAGTCTCGGCGAGAAGGGGCCCCTCGGTGAAGGGAATAGGTTCGAGATCCAAGGAGTGTCTCCACGTATTCACAATATCTCCCAAGCTAGAAATCAATGAGACAAGGTCTCGAGGTCAGCAAAAGGAACCATTTTGACAGAACGAAGGACAATACACACCCTTGCCATGTCATCCACTCAACCGCCAAATACGAAACATGGTTCGCCAGAGAAGCCGACACCCCCCGCCTGTGCCCAACAATATTCGCCAGCGGATGGCAAAACTCCCCCGTGCTCGTCCACGGCATCGTGAACATGAGATGCAGCGGCACCCCCAGCGCCTGCGAGCAGTGGACGTGCGCAAAGCTAGGCGGGTTCGCGATGATGGCCTCGGCCACAAAGGGGCGGCCCGTCAGCGGGTCGGGCGCGACGCACGACTGCCAGCAGCCCTCGAGCATCTCGGCCACCATCCTCCGCTTCTTCTGGACGTCCCCGGCCCGCAGGCTCTCCATGCTGGGGACGAGCCCCGGGTTCTTCACCATGTACGCCATCAGGTCGGCCGGGTCGCCGCCGATGGGGAAGAACTCGAGCCCGGAGGAGCGCACAAAGTCGCTGAAGGCGCCGTGCGTGGCGATCCGCACCCGGTGGCCGTGGCGGAGGAGCTGGCAGCCGAGGGCGACAAAGGGCTGGACGTCGCCGCGGCTCCCGACCACTTGGATGACGATGTTGAGGCGGATGGACCTCCCATCTCGCTCAGTATAGTCTGGCGGGGCCTCTGGTTTCCGCTTTAACTTCTCGCTGGGAACTAGGAGGGAAAGACGGCGGTACAATGCTGAATCCAAGCGGATATCGATACGGCCATCGTCTGCGAGTTCATCAGTACCAACCATATCTGGGGCAGTCCAAACAGCATAGACTTCTCTGCACTGTACGTACCTCTAGTTCCGGGTAAAGCCTTGACCAGTTCTTCGACTGCTGCCTCATAAGTAGGCGGCAACTCTTCGAACTGTTCCGTCTGCTCCTTTTCAGAAGCCCCGTGTGGTTGGCCGGTCTTGTCTGGTAACATCCCGACCGAGTCAAACTGGATGATACTGCTCTCCTTGTTGAATTAAATACAGACGATTGCACCGTCACCACCCACTAAAGGAAAAGGATTCTTTCTCTATTAGGTGTACAGAGGCGTAGGTATAGAGGCATGACTGAATAGACCAAGGACGAGCGAGATCGAGCCGCTTTATAGGATAGATGCAAACTCAGAAGCTACCACCAGGCTCCATGGCATCCCCTCCCATCGTGCCCAAACCCGAGCCAGTGTCTCAAGGCTCCAATTCTCTCCTCAAACCACCGACTGCCTTGCATTCAGGCCACTCCGATTGGTGGAGCAGAGTCGCGCACTCGGGTTGCGACCTCGGGTTGTGCCCTCGGGTTTCTCGCATTCGCTCGTTCTGCCATTTTGCCAACGCTGGCGCTAAGCCCTGCCGCGTGTCATGGCTCTTGTCGACGCCAATGCCGGCCGTGCTTTTCTTCAGTTGCGGTGCCTTGTCTCGGGTGGCATAGCCGGCACTCCCTTCGGCGTTTTGACCCAAGAGCTGAGCCTCTTTCAAGTACTTGATCAGGAAAAAAGCCATCTATAAAGTCGAGCCATCCAAGTGGGTGGCATTGAAATTGAGATACTCAAAAACATTAAGCTGCTTATTCTTAGATCTGCGACGGGTATTATCAGATTATTAAGTCCCAATAATATGTAATACTGTATTTATTGTCTCTTTCTTCTATTTTCATACTACTGAAATTCTCTATTTCTTGCAGAAAGTAGTCGATTAATGACCAGCTCTTCCTTTAGGTGTCTTATTTCTCCTGTCACCCACTTGCCATCATCGTCTGCAATCCTAGTTCTAAAAACACGCAGTTCATCATCTCAACGGACTCCCTTTTAGATAATGACTCAGCTCATTCATGTCACTTTGACCATGCAGTGGGGAATCAATGGTTGCAGTTATTGGTGTCTATTCCATGTGCCTCCATTCTATCTACCCTCCTTCATCACTCCAATTGAGCCTTTGCTGGCAGGGCTCCTCAGTCACGGTTTCCCCTCCGCTAAGCCAGTAGCCTTGAGTAGCCTCACCTTGCCATACAACCAAATGGCAACACAATCAAGAAGAGCAAGCAAGCCAGTATCAGATCCTGGAATCCGATCCGACTCGTCTCAGAGCCAGAACACAGTTTGGTCTGTACCAGAAACAAACTCATATCCCGAAAAAGGAGGGGATAGACTTTCAACGTGCGCACATTCAAATGCATCATCGACCCCTAACCCATAGCGGTAAACGATACTCATGATAAACCAATACCGCATTCTTCCAACGGCCGTCTCTAAAGCTAGAGAGCCTTCAAAATGGTGCCTTCAAAGTAGTGCCTCCCAAGTCGTCGAAATGTGCGCACAAAAAGTAAAAGGGAATAAAGAAAAATGAGAAAACCGTTTCAAGGACAGACTGCGAAGCGAATTATAATGTTGTTCATGTCTTGTAGAAAGGCGGATGATACCGCTGCCGTGCTCCACAGGTGGCCCTCAAGTGAGCCCGTTGTGCACAAAGAACCGAAAACAAATCGACATCATGCAATCCGCCAGTCCTGAACGTTCATGTCACAGAGTCTGGGCGTAAGTCGTGATATAAAAAAGGAAGCAAAATAGTGACCGGATAAGAAGTAAAAGTAAACTGATTGAAATCACAGACCCCTTGGAAGGCCGAGTTGCTAATCGAGGCTTAAGCCACCGGGTTCGTCTTACGCTTCTCAGCGCTCGTAAAAACTAGCCTTGGGGTTTTGCGGTCATCTGTCGCCTCCTGGGCCTGAGATGCTCGCTGAGCACCGTTCTTAAACACATTGGCGAATGAGCCATTATCGGTGTCTGATGCATCACTGTCCACGCTCTTACGAGTCTTCTGGCGCGAGCCAGGCCGATCAGAGCCAATAGCTCCCCAGCTTCCACTAGTCTGCTTGCGAGTGGTAGAACACTCCTCGCCGGCGAGACTGCCAGAGCCGCTGCGTCCAGACTCGGAATCATTGTCGGTGATTGGCGTTGTCGATTCCTCTGCTGTCTCGGACACTGGGCTCATGCTGCCGCTCGAGCTACCTGTTCCCTTGCGTCGTTCAAGACCAGCTCGAACAAGGTTGTGAACGGCAGATCGTCGAGTACGAGCAGAAAAGTTCTTGCTACCCTCATGTTTAGAAGTCGGCTTCAGCTTCAACTCATCAAGAGATGGGGGTCCACGAGGTTGGCGAACTGGATGCTCTCCAGCACGGGCCTGGCCAGGACCATATCCAGCTGGCGGGAAAGTACCCGTTCGGGGTCCAGCTGAACCAAGTGCGGGATCTGTCGCAGTTGAGGCCAGAGCAGCGTTGATGGGCGTGATGGACTTGACCTTGTTGTGTCCACGGCGGAAGGCATTAGCGGATGGCGGTGGCAGCGGAGCAACCTCAACCGGAGACTCATATCTCTTGGGAGGGGAGTTACTCCTGAAGCCGTTGGTCTGGTTCTCGGGTGGTGGCGAAACCTGCACGCGAGGGGTACCTTGCTGCTGCTGTTGCTGAAACTGCTGATATTGCTGCTGGTGCTGCTGCTGGAAGGTTTGGAAACCACCAGGCGTCATAGGCTGTTCAGTGTACATGTGAGCTGAGTTGTCAACAAAGTACTGTCCAGTCATGGGGTTGTAGTAGAACTGCTGTCCGCTCTGGTTCATGGTCGCTTGAGCACTAAGTTGATGCTGAAGGTTGCGAAGATGTTGCTGCTGCTCATAAAGAGCCATCTGCTGCTGTGCAAGCTGAGGGTTGTTCAAGTTAAGCTGCTGGAACTGCTGAGCAGCGGCTTGAACCTGGCGCAGCTGTTGCTGAAGTCTCTGCTGCTGCTGGGCCAGATACATATTGGTTGCAACAAGCTGAGCATACAAGTTGGGATCCATCTGCTCCTGAGCCTGGTCATCAATGGGGAGTTCAGGAGGGGCAAGAACTTGATCCACAGTGTATTGCTGGTGCTGCTGCTGAACTTGCTGCTGCTGAGGCTGGGGTTGAGGGGGAGCCTGCTGCTGCTGCTGTGGCTGCGATTGTTGTTGCTGCTGTTCGACCATGCCCTGGTACCCGTTGGTCTGCTGTCCCTGAGAGTTGAATTGAGGGAAAGCAGACTTGGGGGGGTTGGCGCCATTGACATGGGCTGCGAGATTGTTTCTAGCAAACTGCTGGGATGGCCCTGTACCAGTTGGAGAAAGAGGGGGGAAAGATGTCGCAGTCGATGTCTTTGGTGCAGTCCTCAGACCTGCAAGCAGGTGTGAGCGGCTTGTGCGGGGTGTGGGAAGTGCATTCTCCTTGTCCGCACCGTTCTTAATGCTGTCAAAGGAAAGTGGCTTGATATTAGGACCTCCTCGACGAGAGGCGAGGCCTCCGATGGGGGAAATAGGGTTGCCTGCCCCAGCGTGGGAGGGGAAATTGGTAGACATCTGAGCAAGACCGCCAGTGTTCATGGCTCAGAGCTGTCCGAATGTACGGATAGAAAGTGTATGAGAAGATTGGATAAAGTGTTTAAAAAAATGAATAGACGGAAGAAGCGAAGTTAGACGCTCAGGGCTCGCCGGCGGGTTCGCTTGTTCCGAATAAAAGGCCTTGATATCGATAGCGGATCAGAAGCCAGGTCGAGAACGGCTGTCTACTTTCGCGGAAGTTTGTTTAAAAAGAGAAATCCAAGAAATGGAATGCCGTTGCAGGTCGAAGAAAAAAAAGGAATCCTGACGGGGGATTGGATAAAGTGTTGGAGAAGAAGAAATTAAAAGAGTTGTAAATGCAGTGAAAGATGAGAGAATGACGCAGCGTCTGGGAGCGCTGGAAAAAGTATGGTGGCTTTGAGGTCTTGTGCACGCGTACACTTAACGACAAAGCGAAGTTGAGGCAGGACACAACGGAGCTGACAGTCAACTGCTCTTCAAGGGAAACGACGGCTAATTGGGGCTGAAACTTGTCAGAAGCAGCGCGACGAAGCTGTGCGGGCAATTCGGGTGGTCAAAGGTCGAAACCGGTCCAATGCCTCTTTCCTTTCTTGGGTTGCTGCCTATTGGTGGAAGGCGTTCCGTCTCTTGCCCTTCAATGATTTTTTTTTCTGGTTTTTTGTTTGATTTTGTCCAAGCTTTCTTTCCTTCTGTTTGATTTTCTCCCTCGGATTCGCAAACTGTCGGAATTCGATGGGTGCGCTGGTGGATCGGTTCTTGAGTTTGGGTTGGTGAAATTAGGTAGAGAAGACGGTATGCTGATCGAAGCAATAGTAATGCAAATAAGAAAAAAAGAATAATACAGTCGAATTACGAGTTGTCGAAGGCAAGTCGATCAGGATCAGGCGCAGTGATCTTAAAAGGCCCTCTGTGTGGCTGCGGGGTTGAGTTCTTTCCTTTGTGGCAGGTTGCCGATTATTATTGTGGTCGAAGCGGGAAGAAACCGGTGCGCACGCACGTACGTACGCGAATTGAAAAAGGCGACGGGCGAGACGATACGATACGAGCGAGCACAGACGCCAAAGGGCGATCAAAGGAAGGAATAGAGGAATAACTGGAGGGAGGCGAAAGGGGAAGAGCAGAGAGAAAAGAGGGAGGAAAAGCGGTGCGAATGGGGAGCGGGAAGGAGGAGGGAGTTGGAGAGATTGGAAAGAGAGAGCCCAGGGCCTGAAGTGATGGAGCGCATGGATGGACGGGATCGAGGAGGCAAGAGCTCGACAGCCAGAGTGGCAGGCGGTGGCCAATCACAGGCCCACACTAGGGGACCCACCTGACCAATCAGACGCCTGCCCCCCGGCTGATCTAACGAAGGTGAAGGTGCGATGTACCCCGTACCTGCCCACCCACAGTGGCACCACCGCTTGACAGGTACAGTGCACAGCCAACGCTTCTGGCAGCGCGTGACTCGTTGGCTCCAACTCCAAACTGCTCCTAGGAAGCCGACCAGCGAACCTTGGGGACAAAGTCAAAGAACGGGCCCTCGATCTCGATACCAGCGACCTGAACTTGACGCAAGGTGGCCTCTGCTGGAACTCGGCGGCCAAGCCTCGCTGTGGCCGTTCTTGGATGTGCAGCACACTCACATCCATACGAATCCAAATCCATATCCATGACCCTGTGACATGGATGACAAAGGACCCCTTGTCCGCTCTGGAGTACCTACGAGTAATCCAGGCCATCGCTGCGCACGTAGCAGCATCGAGCCCCTAAGGCAACCTCTCAGCCTACTGGGGCTGCGTGACTACAATAGCGCGGTGATCCAGTGCGAACAAGTAGCAATTTTTGCTGGTGCCGCATAGCGCCCAGGCCAATCACGGCCGCCAGGGGAAAGTGTTCAGGGGTCGCTGTGCTCGTTGCAACATCCATCCCCACAAAACCCTGCTGCCACCTCAGTGATGGGCGCAAGCCGTTCATCGAATCTTGGGTGGCAATGTGAGCGGCAGAGTCACGGTCTGACCTCTGGCCTCGAGGATGGTGTGTAGCAGGCAGGCAGGTACCATGCCCTGGCATCCATCGTATAAGGCCGTTCATGTCTACCTCCACGGTACACGCGGGACCTTCGGTCTGAACCACAACCTTAATATTGAGGCTGTCGATTGCAATCTCGTGTTGACGACTTGCGTGTATAATACCTCAATCATCGTGAGAGCCAAGGTGGCCGTTTACCCACTGCCAAGCCGTGAGTACCTCGAGAGACAATGCACCTTCCACTTGCCACATTGATGGTGCTGCCGCATGCAGCAGCTTCACGAGCTATCGCACATAATTTACGCGACCTTCCGCTGGGCCCTCAAATAGCGGTCATCAATAGTGCCCCGTTTCCCATGCAGGACCGGCTAAAGACCTACGACGTATCAGAGTACCCCAGTCCCCCAATTGCATTCAATGGTCTAAATCTGCTCTATTAATGACTCTTGTGGGTTTTCTTGCTGGGCTTTTTTTATTTTTTCCCTTGCCCTGCCCCATAGCCGCTGATGACCTGTCTTGCCTGTCTTTCTTCTCCGAGCAAGTGTGACGAACTTGCTCCTAGGCCATGCAAAGCATGATCGGGCCCTGATGCACGTTCATGCGCCCAACCACCCTCCAAGGCAGCCTTAGATCTCTGCCCACACATGCTCTAGAGGTTCTGTTACCCTCCTGCAGCCTTGGAAATACCTCCCTGCAGGTACTCTCCTTTGTGAAGGGTGGCACGCATCACGCATCTCACGGGAGCATACCTTAACGTCTGGCAACACGGCCCTACCAGGTACACTAGGTGGTAATTACCAGATAGAGACACGGACACGCATGAGGACTCCTGATGTTTCCAGTTCCCCTGCCCGCATTCCCTCCCACGCCGCAGCTGTTTCATCCCTTCTTCACAGAAATTAGCGCTCTACCTGGCCTGCCACGATGAATCCCACCTAAAACATTGTAGCACAATACCGGCTCCTGGCGAGCACAGCCCGAAGCCACCGTTGAACCCCTGAGCCGACAGGCCTCCACTGTCAGGGCCGCTCGGAGCACTGGGAGATGGCAGCAGGCAACTGAACTCCTTCTGTGGCCCCTCCCCACACAGTTGATGGATTGGATGCAATACCCGCCGCTGCTATCACTGCATTGACGGTCCCAGCCACTGTCCGATCCTGTGCTACTTCCCACCGGCAGCAAGCCCGCTCGCTCTCTTTGGGTCTTCATCTCCCATTCCAGCCACCGATTTCCCTTGATCGCTACGTATTCGGACACCACATGCAGCCACTCTGCCCAAGGAGAATCCGCCCCTATGGAAATTAAATGCACACAATACGTACATGCTCCCTGCCAGACACCCTTGGCCGTGCGACCCTCCCGTGAGCCATCTCCAACCGACTATTGCCTGCGCGTCAAATGAGTGAATGTCATGCCTCGCCGCGCACCATCTTCCCTTCCAGAGGGCTACGCACCTGCTACGCCCGCCGTCTCCGCCCCGTCATCCACTAACTCGCTGCTATTATTGCTGCCAGCTGCGCGGGCACGATGCAGCCCAACACTGCCAGCGCTGCTCCCTCCCACTGGGCACTCTCCTCCTCCTCGTCTATCCCTTTGAGCATAGATCGGCGGCCCCCTCATGTCGAGTGCTGATCCCGCCCACCCATTCGCTGGCGACCCTGCGCTTGTCGGGCGCTTCGATGTGCTAGATCGCGTAATCCCAACGCATCTTCACCGCGTCTAGCTGCCCTCCAGAGCGATCACAGTCGCGAGCAGCCCTCCCAGTCAGCATGCAATATGCAGGGCGCCGGGGTCCTTCGCTGTCACTGAGCGCTTATCACCCACCATCTTTCCTTGAAGGGGAACCCCCCTCCCTCCCATAAATAGACGTGTCTCCATTGGCCGGCCCGTTGACCTTTTGGGCGTTCGGTTAATTAGCTGAGATCCTTTCCCACCTCTGGCTCCGATTGAAGAAGGACTGTGTGATAATACTAATCCAACTTTGCACAGCATCTGGTGCACCTACAACAGGAGGGGGGCCCGGTCCCATCTGCCAGGATGTATTTTTGGAAACGCCCACGGTCGTTTCTTGTCATCTGTCAAAATGTCTCTGTTTCCTTTTTTGGGGGGGATCAATGGACGAACACATACTCATTCAGCGTAGTAGTGTAACTCCAGTCCCCCAAATTGTGCAGAATTTACAATGCAAGCAGCCGGCTCGCTCCAGTGGAAGCTTTCCCCGCGATTTACGGTCTATCAAACCAGGATTGGTCTGAAGTTGTAACAGGACAGCCTCGTGAAACAAGCGCACTCCCTAGCATGAATGATCACCCCCCTCGCACGTGACGACGACTACGACGCCCGTAGATGGACGATTACCGCCTAGTCATCGCTTGTCGCTTGTGCGCATATTATCTGGATGAATTCGTTCAACCGTGAAGCGAGCGTCTTGAAACAACGAGGGCTTGTAGGATCCGTAGAGAACCCAATCATGGCGAGGTATGACCAGAGCGGTGACATCTTGTCCGGTCTGTCTCTCGTGATGAAGTACCCTTCTTGAAACTCGTATAACAACGACAGCCAGTCAAGGAGAAAACCCTAGCGAGGATTGGGTTGACACATGTCCTTGTCGGACTTTGCATTGTCATACTGTGCCTGGGCTGTGATGCCTCTCATTTCCGCCAGGGCCGTCAGCCTTGTTCGAGGACCCAAACGCGTAATCGCAGTTTCAGCCAAGTATGTTGAATTCTGACTCACAAGTTTGCCTCTTTTCTTATCCAAAATGATATGAAAGCATAATCGCAGTCTTACACTTATGTCAGAGTATGAGAATGCCTCCATCGCATGATCGGGTTTGACTCATCCATGGTGCCTTGCCACAACGACAGGAGTATAGGGTAGGTGCACTTGCAAGATACCATTCCCAACCAACTACCTACCCGAGACCTGGCAGTTTCATCAATTCGATGTGATGCATAATGATGTTGAATTCTGAACTAGGCATCCATAATGGCGAGCGCACATTTAGTGCTGAA